TGTGTGTGGTTCATGCAGCGTTGAATCCTTGCAAAATGTTTCTGTTTGGCGTTTTAATATCTTAACACCTCCTGTTTTATTGCCAGAAAGGGTAAAACCTATGTTTATTTTTTCCATACTATGTAAAACAGTTAAACAACATTGTTACTCTTGAAAAATGTTTATCACAGGTAACATAATGCTTAATCCAAACAAATATGTTACTCCGGTTAATCCGAAATCCACGCGGTCGGCTCTACAGTACAGTAGTTGCCATATGTTTACACCATTGGGTGGCGCAGTTTGATGGATGTTGGTTGGCCGTGGCTCTGCTGCTGTCAGTTCATTTTCAGTTTCAGTTCAGTTAATTTATTTGGTATAGCCCTGTGAGCATATTCGGCTCTTGAATCGGGTGCAACCGCAAAAAAACAAAAACATGAACAAGAAAAACATCTTAAAGTGACTACGAGCAACAGAAAAATCCAGGAAAAAAACCAGCAAAGTCTTCGAGAAAAAACCCGCACCCTATATCAACGCTGTGTGCAAAAATCCAAGCGGGATGCAAGTCAAACAATAACAACGATAAGACAATTTAGATTAAAGTTATCAGTCTAACTATGTACTACAACAAACAAATATGGCTAAACCAAAACGTTTTCGAATTCACCAAAATAAAGCTATAAAAACAATGTAACAGTGATCAAAGGAACAGTGATTCAAATTTAACAATAAACGATATACGTAGCATGTACGTATTCTTGGTTCTTTCGGCAAAGTCACGTGCCTTTACCGAAAGAACCAAGACTATGAATCCCTGCAGTCAACGAAAGCTTTAAATCAAAATGTAACCATGTACGACCAAACTTTTCAGCCATAGCTGGCAGCATGAGTCACTCCATAACAGCAGGAGTATCAGTAGGAGTATCAACATCTTTCAATGCGCCTTTAAAGATCAGCAGCACACGATCATCAAAACTCAAGCAGCAGCTGGGGTAGAATTCCGTGAATGCATCCGCGCGGAATCACTTGCGCCGGGCCAAGCAACGTTGTGGAGGTGTCGCGAGACGTAAGTTTAGAGAGGAGGGCATCGATGATGATGATGATATTGATGATGGTGGCAGTGCCGGATGAAGCTAAGTGCGGGGCCTGTAGCAAATGAAGTTATGAAGGGGCCCTAAAAATAAAAAAAAACGCGTAAATATTTTCCCGGATGTTTCTGTAGTGCGTCGTCACTTTAAGATGTTCTCTGTTCGTCTTTTTTTGTTGTTGCGGTTGAACCCGAGTCAACAAGAGCCGCATGGCTCACAGGGCTGTACCTATGAGAAGTCCCCCCTTTTTTTTTCTGGCAACATAACAGCCGTGTTAAGATGTTCCAACACCAAACTGAAACCTTTTCACAAGGAATCGTGTCCTGCATTAACCACAGTACTCGTGGTCAGAATTCAAACAAAAAAACGTACTCTTGACAGTATGATGATGATGATGCATTGTCTTTGAAACTGATTGGTCCACACCAGAGACGGCTTTCTTTTGAGCCTCGTCTCAAACGGTCTTAGACCAGAGGACATCGCCAAAGGGCGAACACAGCACAGAGACGATGCCACTATCGGAGTAATGAGAGCTCGGGCTGAGCCAGCTACGTCACGGGACCTCCTTTACCGGTACCAAAATATGAGAAGAGGTGTACCCCCGTTTTCCTGGCAAAACAGGGGAAAACCCAGATATATATTAAAAAGATTGTTCCCTATATAAAAAAAACTAAGTTTTTTTGCAAAAAAAAAATGTTATCTATAAAAAAAACTAACAAAGAACTAGGAGTTTTAGTAAAAAAATAGTTCTCGATATAAAAAATAACAACCAAAAAACTAGTAGTAATTAACACAAAACTAGCAGTTTTTTTGTTCTCTATATAATATTTTTTTTACAAAAAACGAGTATTTTTGGTAAAAAAAGTGTTCTACGTGACTTTACCGAAAGACCCAAAGAATGAATTCCTGCAGTCACGAAAGCTTCAAGATTTAAGGGGAAAACCTCCTCTCATAATTCGGTTCTGGCAAAGGAGGTACCATGACGTAGGGCTGTCTAATCAATAAGACTGGAGCTGATGCTGCTGATGATGCTGATGATGATGCTGATGATGATACTGATGATGCTGATGATGATATTGATGATGGTGATGATGATACTGATGATGGTGATGCTGCTGCGGATGATGATACTGCTGATGCTGCTGATGATGCTGATGGTGATGATACTGATGATGGTGATGCTGCTGCGGATGATGATACTGCTGATGCTGCTGATGATGCTGATGATGATGGTGATGATGATGCTGCTGCGGATGATGATACTGCTGATGCTGCTGATGATGCTGATGATGATGGTGATGATGATGATACTGACGATGGTGATGATGCTGCTGCGGATGATACAGCTAATGCTGCTGATGATGATGCTTATGATGTTGCTGATACTGATGATACTGCTGATGCTGCTGCTGATGATGCTGCTGATGCTGATACTGATGACAATGCCTCTGATGATGCTGATGATGATGCTGCTGCTGATAATGATGATGCTGATGATGTTGCTGATACTGATGATGATACTGCTGATGCTGCTGATGATACTGATGATGCTGATGATGATGCTGCTGATGATGCTGCTGATGACACTGATGATGCTGATGCTGATGAGACTGATGATGATGCTGCTGCTGTTGACACTGATGATGATGCTGCTGATGATACTGATGATGCTGCTGCTGATGATACTGATGATGATGCTGATGAGACTGAGACTGATGCTGCTGATGATGATACTGATGATGATGCTGATGAGACTGAGACTGATGCTGCTGATGATGATGACACTGATGATGATGCTGATGAGACTGAGACTGATGCTGCTGATGATGATAGTGATGATGATGCTGATGAGACTGAGACTGATGCTGCTGATGATGATGACACTGATGATGATGCTGATGAGACTGAGACTGATGCTGCTGATGATGATAGTGATGATGATGCTGCTGATGATGATTGCGCCGCTCCGATAGCGGCAAGATGCGGACAGAGACGCAGCAGCAGGAGGGAGGGGAGGGAGGAAAGGGGCGGGGCGGGGCGGAGAGGGGCGGGGCGTGGAGGGGCGGGGCGAGGCGGGGAGGGGCGGGGCGAGGCGGGGAGGGGCGGGGCGAGGCGGAGAGGGGAGGGGAGCCGGTGGGGTCACCGCGTGAACTCGGAAGCTGTTTGCTCTGTACGCCTGGTGGCGGTGGTGGTGAGGGAGGGGTGAGTGGGGGGGGGCTGAGCGCGTGGTGGTGAGGGCTGAGTGAGTGGTGGTGAGTGGTGGTGAGGGCTGAGTGGTGGTGAGTGGTGGTGAGGGAGGGGTGAGTGGGGGGTGGCTGAGCGCGTGGTGGTGAGGGCTGAGTGGTGGTGAGGGGTGAGTGAGTGGTGGTGAGGGCTGAGTGGTGGTGAGGGCTGAGTGGTGGTGAGGGCTGAGTGAGTGGTGGTGAGTGGTGGTGAGGACTGAGTGAGTGGTGGTGAGTGAGTGAGTGGTGGTGAGGGCTGAGTGAGTGGTGGTGAGGACTGAGTGAGTGGTGGTGAGTGAGTGGTGGTGGTGAGGGCTGAGTGAGTGGTGGTGAGGGCTGAGTGAGTGGTGGTGAGTGCTGAGTGAATAGTGGTGGTGGTGGTGAGTGGTGGTGAGGGCTGAGTGAGTGGTGGTGAGTGGTGGTGCGGGCTGAGTGAGTGGTGGTGAGGGCTGAGTGAGTGGTGGTGAGTGGTGGTGAGTGGTGGTGAGGGCTGAGTGAGTGGTGGTGAGGGCTGAGTGAGTGGTGGTGGTGAGGGCTGAGTGGTGGTGGTGAGTGGTGGTGCGGGCTGAGTGAGTGGTGGTGAGGGCTGAGTGAGTGGTGGTGAGTGGTGGTGAGGGCTGAGTGAGTGGTGGTGGTGAGTGAGTGAGTGAGTTGTGGTGGTGAGTGGTGGTGGTGGTGAGTGGTGGTGGTGAGTGGTGGTGAGTGGTGGTGGTGGTGAGTGGTGGTGGTGGTGGTGGTGAGTGAGTGGTGGTGGTGAGTGAGTGGTGGTGGTGAGTGAGTGGTGGTGAGTGGTGGTGAGGGCTGAGTGAGTGGTGGTGGTGGTGAGTGAGTGGTGGTGAGTGGTGGTGGTGGTGAGTGGTGGTGAGTGGTGGTGGTGAGTGAGTGGTGGTGGTGAGTGGTGGTGAGTGGTGGTGGTGGTGGTGAGTGAGTGGTGGTGAGTGGTGGTGGTGGTGAGTGAGTGGTGGTGGTGAGTGAGTGGTGGTGAGTGAGTGGTGGTGAGTGGTGGTGAGTGGTGGTGGTGGTGGTGAGTAAGTGGTGGTGGTGAGTGAGTGGTGGTGAGTGAGTGGTGGTGAGTGAGTGGCGGTGGTGGTGGTGAGTGATGGTGGTGGTGAGTGGTGGTGGTGAGTGGTGGTGGTGGTGAGTGGTGGTGGTGAGTGGTGGTGGTGAGTGGTGGTGGTGAGTGAGTGGTGGTGAGTGAGTGGTGGTGGTGAGTGAGTGGTGGTGGTGAGTGAGTGGTGGTGAGTGGTGGTGAGTGGTGGTGGTGAGTGGTGGTGGTGAGTGGTGAGTGAGTGGTGGTGGTGAGTGGTGGTGGTGGTGGTGAGTGAGTGGTGGTGAGTGAGTGGTGGTGGTGAGTGAGTGGTGGTGAGTGAGTGGTGGTGGTGAGTGAGTGGTGGTGGTGAGTGAGTGGTGGTGGTGAGTGAGTGGTGGTGAGTGGTGGTGGTGGTGGTGGTGAGTGGTGAGTGAGTGGTGGTGGTGAGTGGTGGTGGTGGTGGTGAGTGAGTGGTGGTGAGTGAGTGGTGGTGGTGAGTGAGTGGTGGTGAGTGAGTGGTGGTGGTGAGTGAGTGGTGGTGGTGAGTGAGTGGTGGTGAGTGGTGGTGGTGAGTGGTGGTGGTGAGTGAGTGGTGGTGGTGAGTGAGTGGTGGTGGTGAGTGGTGGTGGTGAGTGGGACACTCCGCGCATTGTTTTGATGTTGGCTGACGAACTTCCGTCGCCGTAGACGCTGCTGCAGGTTGCCGTTGGGACGTTGGGTGGAGGTTGGGTGGACGTTGGGTGGACGTTGGTGGGACGTTGGGTGGACGTTGAGGAGGTCGGAGTGAAGATGTCCGTGATCCTGGAGACGACGCTGGGAGACGTGGTGGTTGATTTGTACACCAAAGAGCGGCCACGCAGTGAGTGCAGTCAACACACACACAGTCAACACACACACAGTCAACACACACACAGTCAACACACACACAGTCAACACACACACAGTCTGTGTGTAGACACACACAGACTGTGTGTGTGTCTACACGTGTATATACAGTCTGTGTGTCTACACAGACTGTATATACAGCAGCAGGCATCGTCAGGGGCCAGGATCGAATCCACAACCTCCTGCATACCGGGCGAGCTAGTCAACATCTCCTAGTCACCGTGGTGCCCTGTTGCCAATACAGTGTATACATATAGACTGTATTGGTGGTGAAGTATGGGTCGAGGCCTTTATCCAACAGTGGAGCGGCCAATCGCTGGCTCCGTCTTAAGCCGCGAAGATCATCGTCTGTCTACTGACACTGGCCCATTGTGACCCACCCCCTACGTCTTTGTGTCTCAGCGAGTCTCAACTTTCTCAAGCTGTGCAAGGTGAAGTACTACAACTACTGCCTGTTCCACAGCGTGCAGGTAAGAGGGGTCACACAGAGACACGTGGACTCACACAGAGACACGTGGACTCACACAGAGACACGTAGACTCACACAGAGACACGTAGACTCACACAGAGACACTTAGACTCACACGTAGACTCACACAGAGACTCACACGTAGACTCACACAGAGACACGTAGACTCACACAGAGACACGTAGACTCACACAGAGACACGTAGACTCACCGGGAGACACGTAGACTCACACAGAGACACGTAGACTCACACAGAGACACGTAGACTCACACGTAGACTCACACAGAGACTCACACGTAGACTCACACAGAGACACGTAGACTCACACAGAGACACGTAGACTCACACAGAGACACGTAGACTCACACAGAGACACTTAGACTCACACGTAGACTCACACAGAGACTCACACGTAGACTCACACAGAGACACGTAGACTCACACAGAGACTCGTAGACTCACACAGAGACACGTTGACTCACACAGAGACTCACACAGAGACACGTAGACTCACACAGAGACTCACACAGAGACACGTAGACTCAGATAGAGACTCGTAGACTCACACAGAGACACGTAGACTCACACAGAGACTCACAGAGGCACGTAGACTCACACAGAGACTCACACAGAGACACGTAGACTCACACAGAGACTCACACAGAGACACATAGACTCATACAGAGACACGTAGACTCACACAGAGACACGTAGACTCACACAGAGACTCGCACAGAGACACGTAGACTCACACAGAGACACTTAGACTCACACAGAGACACGTAGACTCACACAGAGACTCACACAGACACGTAGACTCACACAGAGACTCACACAGAGACACGTAGACTCACACAGAGACACGTAGACTCACACAGAGGCACTTAGACTCACACGTAGACTCACACAGAGACACGTAGACTCACACAGAGACACGTAGACTCATACAGAGACACGTAGACTCACACAGAGACAATTAGACTCATACGTAGACTCACACGTAGACTCACACAGAGACACGTAGACTCACACAGAGACACTTAGACTCACACGTAGACTCACACAGAGACACGTAGACTCACACAGAGACAATTAGACTCATACATAGACTCACACGTAGACTCACACAGAGACACGTAAACTCACACAGAGACTCACACAGAGACACGTAAACTCACACAGAGACTCACACAGAGACACGTAGACTCACACAGAGACACTTAGACTCACACGTAGACTCACACAGAGACACGTAGACTCACACAGAGACAATTAGACTCATACGTAGACTCACACGTAGACTCACACAGAGACACGTAGACTCACACAGAGACTCACACAGAGACACGTAAACTCACACAAGAGACTCACACAGAGACACACACAGAGACACGTCGACTGACACACAGACACGTAGACTCACACAGAGACACTTAGACTCACACAGAGACACTTAATCTCACACAGAGACACGTAGACTCTGTGAAGAGGAGCTACATAGTTTAACACGTAGTAAAGGCTTTTGCGACCAACATCATTAATGATGTAGGTTATATTGTTTTTTTGGGGTTTGATCGCGTAAATATAAATGTGTCGTTAAACCCGCCACCGCCCGACACAGCCAATTAGTAAGGGTTGTCACGTAAATAGAACGTGCCAATTTGTTACTAGTACAGCACTAGTGTATAGTGTAGTGTATAGTGTAGTGTAGTGTGTAGTGTAGTGTACTGTGTAGTGTATAGTGTTTAGTGTAGTGTGTGTTGTTTAGTGTAGTGTGTAGTGTAGTGTATAGTGTAGTGTATAGTGTGGTGTATAGTGTGGTGTATATCGTGTAGTGTATAGTGTAGTATACTAGTACAACACTAGTGTATAGTGTAGTGTGTAGTGTATATTGTAGTGTGTAGTGTAATGTAGCGTATAGTGTTTAGCGTCGTGTGTATTGTTTAGTGTAGTGTGTATTGTAGTTTGTAGTGTAGTGTATAGTGTGGTGTATAGTGTGGTGTATAGTGTAGTATACTTGTACAGCACTAGTGTATAGTGTAGTGTGTCGTGTATAGTGTAGTACAGTGCATAGTATAGTGTGTAGTGTGTATTGTAGTGTATAGTGTAGTGTATAGTGTAGCAGATAGTGTAGTTTATAGTGTGTAGTGTAGTGTATATAGTGTAGTGCATAGTGTGTAGTGTATAGTGTAGTGTATAGTGTCTAGTGTATAGTGTAGTATACTAGTACAGCACTAGTGTATAGTGTAGTGTAGTGTATAGTGTAGTGTATAGTAGTGTAAAGTGTGTAGTGTATAGTGTAGTGTGTAGTGTATAGTGTAGTGTATAGTGTAGTATACTAGTACAGCACTAACTGATATCATGGGAGAGCTTCATAGCTCATCAGATTCCTCCTCCTCCTCCTCGTCCTGCTGCTGCTGCCAGTCTAAACAAAGATTCTGATTCTGATCCTTCAGAAAAACTTCATCGTGCAGACTGGAGACCCGACTGGCACCGGGAGGGGCGGTGAGTCGGTGTTCAGGTGAGAGAGAGAGAGCTCCTCCTCCATATCTGTGGGGACCTTTCTGCCCGTGCTATCAAAATAACAACATTAACTCAACCTACGATAATAGGGGTTTCCCCTTTTTGTTATTATTAGATGCTTTTATTAAACTCACTCTGTCGTTGTTGTTGTTGTCGTTGTTGTATCTTCAAATCTTGTCACTCAATTTTAAACCACTTCCCAATGTGGTATCGACTACAAACTTGGTATGCTTATGTCATACTGATCACAATACTAGATTCTATCATAAAATATAAAAATAAAAATATTTTTTTAAACATTCTTTTTTATATGTTATGTTTCGGCTTGAGTCTAATTTTCCACGGTCAACTCACGTTGGCTGTAAATCACCACGGTCCCTTACGTTGTGGCAAGCTTCGGGGGCAACTTCCTGAGAGTCGTGGAGTTCTGCCATGGGTACATTCATGTTAAAAACGTGTTTAAAAAAAAAAGTTATTTTAAATATATATTTTTCTGGCAACAAAACAGCTGTGTTAAGATGTTAGAACACCAAACGGAAATCTTTTTACAAGGAATCGGGTCTGCATTAACCACGATACTTGTGGTCAGAATTCAAACAAAAAACGCACTCTTGACAGTATGATGATGATGCATTGTCTTTGAAACTGATTGGTCCACACCAGAGACGGCTTTCTTTTGAGCCTCGTCTCAGACGGTGTTAGACCAGAGGACAGCGCCAAAGGGCGAACACAGCACAGAGACGATGCCACCATCGGAGTAATGAGAGCTCGGGCTGAGCCAGCTACGTCACGGGACCTCCTTTGCCGGTACCAAAATATGATAACAGGTTTTTCCCCCTTTTTTCTGGCAACAAAACAGCTCTGTTAAGATGTTAAAACACCAAACGGAAACCTTTTTACAAGGAATCATGCTTGCACTAACCGCAATGCTCACGGCCAGTATGCAAAGAAACAACCTCAAACTATATTTCGATTTAAAGCTTTCGTGACTGCAATGATTCATCTTCTTTGGTTCTTTCGGTAACGTCGTGAGAATATTATTGTGTTATTTTATTTTATCAATTTATTATTTTATTCTCATTCTACGTGACTTTACCGAAAGAACCAAAGAAACAACCTCAAACTATGTTTTTTATTTGACCATGTTTAAGGGCCCCACTTGAACGATGCGTAGCTCTGTTTAAGGAGCGGCCGAGGCCGTCACAAAGGATAGCTCGACCAAGCGTCGTATCACGTGGAAACGTACGGCAGCCAGATGCTGTCAGCTGGTGACTTCGATTCTAAGCGTCGAGGGGAAAAACCGGAGAGCCCGGAGAAAAGTCCACGCGACCACGGGGGAGAGAGAGAGAGAGACACGCAGACTCCAAATATACAGCAGCAGGCGTCAGGGTCGGGATCTGAACCCACGACCTCCTGTATACCAGGCGAGGTAGTTAACATCTCCTAGCCACCGCGATGATGATGAGTGAGAGACGCAGACTCCAAATCTACAGCAGCAGCAGGCATCGTCAGGGTCGGGGTCGAACCCACGACCTCCTGCACACCAGGCGAGGTAGTCAACATCTCCTAGCCACCGCGATGACGATGATGAGAGAGAGACGCAGACTCCAAATCTACAGCAGCAGCAGGCATCGTCAGGGTCGGGATCAGAACCCACGACCTCCTGCGTACCAGGCGAGGTAGCTAACACGTCGCCACCATTGCTAGATTAGGCTTTCCCCTTTCTGGCAATGAAACAGGAGGCGTTAGGGTGTTCAAACACCGGTTCGACAGCACACCTATTGCAAGGCATAAAGTCTGCATGAACCGCACGCACTTGTGGTAAAAAAACCACTGCTCTGATAATGTATTGATGCGTCGTCTTGGAAGCTGATTGGCCCACAACAGGGCCCCGTGTGAGTGAGTGGGGAGTGGCAGCGCGCTGCGCTGCTAACCCACCAGCCCGGGTTCGATTCCCGCTCACGACCAACATCGGTGACGAACGTCTGCACAGGTCCCGAGCCTCCTCTGAGCACCTGGTGTGTGGTGTGTGTAAACATCGTCACTGGGGAGACAAAGGCGGACAATGCCGGCCTTCGTAGGCGCCGCCTTCTCGCGAACGGCACTTGCCCCAACAGTCTGTTGAAGGCTGTGCGGGGGGATCTTTGTCTTTGTGTGTGTGTGTGTGCGTCAACTCCGCAGCCAGCTCTATGGACCTCAGGCGAGGTACTTTGATGCGGAGAGAACTCCGAGAATCAAACACCGCAAGAAGGGAACTCTCTCCATGGTGGACAACGGCTCTGGGCAACACGGATCGCAGGTGAGTGTACTCCTCACCCAGTCCCTCACTCACCCACTCACTCACCCAATCACCCACTCACTCACTCACCCACTCACCCAGTCCTTCACTCACCCACCCACTCACCCACTCACCTACTCACCCACTCACCTACTCACCCACTCACCCAGCCCCTCACTCACCCACTCACCCAATCACTCACTCACCCGCCCACCCAATCACTCACTCACCCGCCCACTCACCCAATCACTCACTCACCCATTCACTCACTCACCCGCCCACTCACTCACCCACTCACCCACCCACTCACCCACCCACCCACCCACTCACCCACTCACCCACCCACTCACCCACTCACCCACCCACTCACCCACCCACCCACTCACCCACTCACCCACCCACTCACCCACTCACTCACCCACTCACCCACCCACTCACCCACCCACCCACTCACCCACCCACCCACCCACTCACCCACCCACCCACTCACCCACCCACTCACCCACTCACTCACCCACCCACTCACCCACCCACTCACCCACTCACCTACCCACCCACTCACTCACCCACCCACCCACCCACTCACCCACCCACTCACCCACCCACTCACCCACCCACTCACTCACCCACCCACTCACCCACTCACCCACCCACTCACTCACCCACCCACTCACCTACCCACCCACCCACCCACCCACTCACTCACCCACTCACCCACCCACTCACCCACCCACTCACCCACTCACCCACCCACCCACCCACCCACTCACTCACTCACCCACCCACCCACTCACCCACCCACCCACCCACTCACCCACCCACTCACCCACTCACTTACCCACCCACTCACCCACCCACTCACCCACTCACCTACCCACCCACTCACTCACCCACCCACCCACCCACTCACCCACCCACTCACCCACTCACTCACCCACTCACCTACCCACTCACCCACTCACCCACCCACTCACCCACCCACTCACCCACCCACCTACCCACTCACCCACTCACTCACCCACTCACCCACCCACTCACCCACCCACCCACTCACCCACTCACCCACCCACTCACCCACTCACCCACCCACCCACCCACTCACTCACCCACCCACCCACTCACTCACCCACTCACTCACTGACTCACCCACCCACCCACCCACTCACCCACCCACTCACCCACCCACCCACTCACCCACCCACTCACCCACTCACTCACCCACCCACTCACCCACTCACTCACCCACCCACTCACCCACCCACTCACCCACCCACTCACCCACTCACCCACCCACTCACCCACCCACCCACTCACCCACTCACCCACCCACTCACCCACTCACTCACCCACTCACCCACCCACTCACCCACCCACCCACCCACTCACTCACCCACCCACCCACTCACTCACCCACTCACTCACCCACTCACCCACTCACCCACCCACTCACTCACCCACTCACCCACCCACCCACTCACCCACTCACTCACCCACCCACTCACCCACTCACCTACCCACTCCCCCACTCACCTACCCACTCACCCACCCACTCACCCACCCACTCACCCACTCACCCACCCACCCACTCACTCACTCACCCACCCACCCACTCACCCACCCACCCACTCACCCACCCACCCACCCACTCACCCACCCACTCACCCACTCACTCACCCACCCACTCACCCACCCACTCACCCACTCACCTACCCACCCACTCACTCACCCACCCACCCACCCACCCACTCACCCACCCACTCACCCACTCACTCACCCACTCACCTACCCACTCACCCACTCACTCACCCACCCACTCACCCACTCACCCACCCACCCACTCACCCACCCACCCACCCACTCACCCACCACCCACTCACCCACTCACTCACCCACTCACCTACCCACTCACCCACTCACTCACCCACCCACTCACCCACCCACTCACCCACTCACCCACCTACCCACTCACCCACCCACTCACCCACCCACCCACTCACCCACCCACCCACCCACTCACTCACTCACCCACCCACACTCACCCACCCACCCACACACCCACCCACTCACCCGCTTGCGTAAGGACGCCTCCCGCGTGCCCCCACAGTTCCTGCTGACCGTGCTCGATGGGCTCGACTCTCTGGACGGCCAGCAGCACACCGTGTTCGGGGAGGTCGCCGAGGGCATGGAGGTGCTGGGCCGCATCGCCGAGGTGTTCTGCGACCGCGAGAACCGCCCCTACCAGGACGTCCGGTAAACAAAACAAAAAAACAAAAACTGCCCAAGTTCGATTCTCGAATCCACGGTTCCGACCCGGACCGGTGCCCGGGCCTCGCCTTGGTCGGCTCGGTCATCGAGTGAGTGCCTGGTGCGGCGCGTGTGTGTCTGTGTGTGTCTGTGTGTGTCTGTGTGTGTCTGTGTGTGTCTGTGTGTGTCTGTGTGTGTCTGTGTGTCAGAGGAGGAGTTGGAGACGCTGCTGCTGCTGAGACTGGAGTGTGCCACTAAGAGGTGGGGCCTTACCATCAGCCCCACCAAAACTAAGCACCTGCCTGGGTATTTTGTACCATCGGACACTCCACCCCCACAACTCCCAATCGGTGATGGGGCAGTTGTGGAGAGAGTGGAGAGTTTCCCATACCTGGGCAGTGTGCTTATGACTGGCTCCAGTTTAACAGCAGAGGTCTCTCTCCGAATCAGTCGAGCGGCAATATCTTTTCATCGGTTGCGTAACGCTGTGTGGAAGTTACCTGGTCTGTCGCTCCGCACTAAGCTTCAGGTCTTCTCGGCCACGGTCATTCCCTCCCTTCTCTACGCTTGCGAAACGTGGACCCCCCTAATGGAACATCTTCGCCGGTTAGAAACATTTGGGCTGGCCTGCCTACGATCCATCCTGGGTTTAACCAGACTGGATTGTGTGAGGAGCTCAAAAATCCTTGAAAGATCTGGGCAAGGTCCCATCGGTGAGCTCCTCCGGCAGGCAAAGCTGCGATGGCTGGGTCATGTAGCCCGCATGCCCAGCCACCGCACGCCCTGAACAGCTTTTGTTCGGTGGGATCGAGGGGGCTAGACGGGCGCGGCACGGGCTAGAGAAGAGATGGAGTGATGTGGTACAGGAGGGGGTGGAGCTGAGTGGACTTGCCGATGACTGGTACCAGCGGTGTCAAGATCGGCCTCTGTGGAGGAGGCTTGTGAAGGACGCTACTGGGCAGTTGGAGGCAGTCACCCTCCAACAACAACGGAGGGCGGAGGAGCGACGCTCACAACAACGAGCGGAGCGCCGGAGTGGCTAAAGCACAGCAGGTTGGCACAGTAGGGGGCACAGGTGGTGCATCAGCCAGTCATCTCAGTCAGTCAACCCGTGGCACCTGCTGGGTCTGCCCCGTGACCTCCTGCCCGCGGGCCTTCGACACTCCACGTGGCCTCAAGGTGCACATAGCCTGGCACAAGCGTCGTGGTGACGTCACCGCCACTTAGTGGCGAATGGCTGTTGTTGTTGTGTGTGTATGTATGTGTGTCTGTGTGTGTGTACGTGAGCGGTGGTGGTAGCTGCAGCGCTACGAACCCGGCGACCCGAGTTCGACTCCCGCTCGCGGCCAACGCCGCCAGTGACGGCTCTCCGAACCGCTCCTGGGCCTCCCCCTTGGGGTCGACTCGGCCTCGAATGAGTTTCCTTGGTTTAGCGGCGCGTGGTGAACCATCGCCACCGGGGGGAGACAAAGGCGGCCCCCGGGCGGTGGCGCTCCGCCCCCCCCGTCAGGTGGCCCGGCGTCGTCGCCGTCGTCGTCAGCGTCGCTGCGACGATGTCGCCTCCTTCGTGGTTGTGCGTCGGGGCGGTGCGTCGCCACGCGCTGTGTCGTCGCTGTTTCTGGGTGACCACAGTCGCACACTTGGTGGTGATGATGATGGTGGTGGTGATGATGATGCTGTGTGTGTGTGCTTCCGCTGTGTGTGTGCTGCTGGTGCTACTACTGCTGCTGGTGCTGGTGCTGCTGCTACTGCTGCTACTGCTGCTGGTGCTGCTGCTACTGTTGCTGCTGCTGCTACTGCTGCTGCTACTGCTGCTACTGCTGCTGCTGCTACTACTGCTGCTACTGCTGCTACTACTACTGCTGCTACTGCTGCTGGTGCTGCTGCTACTGCTGCTGTTGCTGCTGCTGCTACTGCTGCTGCTGCTGCTACTGCTGCTACTGCTGCTGCTACTACTGCTACTGCTGCTGCTACTACTACTGCTGCTGCTGCTGCTACTGCTGCTGCTGCTACTGCTGCTGCTACTGCTGCTGCTGCTACTGCTGCTGCTGCTACTGCTACTGCTGCTACTGCTGCTACTGCTACTACTGCTGCTACTGCTGCTGCTACTACTGCTGCTACTGCTACTACTGCTGCTACTGCTGCTACTGCTGCTGCTACTGCTGCTTTGTGTGCAGGCTGTCCCACACCGTGGTGCTGGACGATCCCTTCCCGGACCCCCCGGGACTCTGCGTTCCGGACCGCTCCCCGGAGCCCACGGCACAGCAACTCGACGTGAGGAGCGAGCGACGGTGGTGGTGGTGGTGGTGGCGGTGGCGGTGGTGGTGGTGGTGGCGGTGGTGGTGGTGATGGCAATGGTGGTGGTGATGGTGGTGGTGGTGGTGGTGGCGGTGGTGATGATGATGGTGATGATGATGATGGTGACGATGATGACAACGACGACGATGGTGGTGACGACGCTGACGACGATGACGGTGACTATGACGATGATCACGATGACGGTGACTATGACGATGACGACGATGACGGTGACTATGACGATGACGACGATGACGGTGACTATGACGATGACGACGATGACGGTGACTATGACGATGACGACGATGACGGTGACTATGACGATGACGGTGACTATGACGATGACGACGATGACGGTGACTATGATGACGATGACGACGGTGACGGTGACTATGACGATGACGACGATGACGGTGACTATGACGATGACGACGATGACGGTGACTATGACGATGACGACGATGACGGTGACTATGACGATGACGACGATGACGGTGACTATGACGATGACGATGACGACGATGACGGTGACTATGACGATGACGATGACGACGATGACGGTGACTATGATGATGACGATGACGACGATGACGGTGACTATGATGACGATGACGACGATGACGGTGACTATGACGATGATGACGATGACGGTGGTGACTATGACGATGACGACGATGACGGTGACTATGATGACGATGACGACGATGACGGTGACTATGATGACGATGACGACGATGACGGTGACTATGACGATGACGACAATGACGGTGACTATGACGATGACGATGACGACGATGACGGTGACTATGACGATGACGATGATGACGGTGACTATGATGACGATGACGACGGTGACGGTGACTATGACGATGACGACGATGATGGTGACTATGACGATGACGACGATGACGATGACGGTGATGACGATGACGACGATGACGGTGACTATGACGATGACGACGATGACGGTGACTATGACGACGATGACGGTGACTATGACGACGGTGACGACGATGATGGTGACTATGACGATGACGACGATGACGGTGACTATGACGATGATGACGATGACGGTGACTATGACGATGACGACGATGACGGTGACTATGACGCTGACGACTATGACGGTGACTATGACGATGACGACGATGACGGTGACTATGACGATGACGACGATGACGGTGACTATGACGATGACGACGATGACGGTGACTATGACGATGACGACGATGACGGTGACTATGACGATGACGACGATGACGATGACGGTGATGACGATGACGACGATGGCGGTGACTATGACGACGATGACGGTGACTATGACGACGGTGACGACGATGATGGTGACTATGATGCTGACGACGATGACGCTGATGACTATGACGATGATGACGATGACGCTGATGACTATGACGCTGATGACTATGACGCTGATGACTATGACGCTGACGACTATGACGCTGATGACTATGACGCTGACGACTATGACGCTGATGACTATGACGATGACGACGATGACGGTGACTATGACGATGACGACGATGACGGTGACTATGACGATGACGACGATGACGGTGACTATGATGACGATGACGACGATGACGGTGACTATGATGACGATGACGACGATGACGGTGGTGACTATGACGATGACGACGATGACGGTGGTGACTATGACGATGACGACGATGACGGTGACTATGACGACGATGACGACGATGACGGTGACGATGACGACGATGACGGTGGTGACGGTGACTATGACGATGACGACGATGACGGTGACTATGATGACGACGATGACGGTGACTATGACGATGACGATGACGACGATGACGGTGGCATTGCCGGTGATGTGCGTGCGTCACAGAGCGGACGCATCGGCGCCGACGAGGATGTCAACGACATGCAGGGGAGGTCGGTGGAGGAGGTGGCGGAGATCGCGTCGGAGAAGGAGGCCAAGGCCCGGGCAACGTTGCTGGAGATGGTGCGGGGTTGAGACGCTCGCTTGCACGCAACAGCAGCAGCAGCAGCAGCAAATGACACGGCTAACTAGTAAACAGAACGTGGCCAATTCGTCACTAATACAGCACTAGTGTATAGTGTAGTGTATAGTGTAGTGTATAGTGTAGTATACTAGTACAGCACTAGTGTATAGTAGTGTAGTGTATAGTGTAGTATACTAGTACAGCACTAGTGTATAGTGTAGTATACTAGTACAGCACTAGTGTATAGTGTAGTGTATACTGTAGTGTATAGTGTAGTATGCTAGTACAGTACTAGTCTATAGTGTAGTGTATACTGTAGTGTATAGTGTAGTGTATAGTGTAGTATGCTAGTACAGTACTAGTCTATAGTGTAGTGTATACTGTAGTGTATAGTGTAGTGTATAGTGTAGTATACTAGTACAGCACTAGTGTGTAGTAGTGTAGTGTATAGTGTAGTATACTAGTACAGCACTAGTGTATAGTATAGTGTAGTATACTAGTACAGCACTAGTGTATAGTAGTGTAGTGTATAGTGTAGTATACTAGTACAGCACTAGTGTATAGTAGTGTAGTGTATAGTGTAGTATACTAGTACAGCACTAGTGTATAGTAGTGTAGTGTATAGTGTAGCATACTAGTACAGCACTAGTGTGTAGTGTATAGTGTAATGTATAGTGTAGTATACTAGTACAGCACTAGTGTGTAGTGTATAGTGTAGTATACTAGTACAGCACTAGTGTACAGTGTAGTGTCTAGTGTAGTGTATGGTGTAGTATACTAGTACAGCACTAGTGTATAGTGTAGTGTATAGTGTAGTATACTAGTACAGCACTAGTGTGTAGTAGTGTATAGTGTAGTATACTAGTACAGCACTAGTGTATAGTGTAGTGTATAGTGTAGTATACTAGTACAGCACTAGTGTATAGTGTAGTATACTAGTACAGCACTAGTGTATAGTGTAGTGTATAGTGTAGTATACTAGTACAGCACTAGTGTATAGTGTAATGTATAGTGTAGTATACTAGTACAGCACTAGTGTATAGTAGTGTAGTGTATAGTGTAGTATACTAGTACAGCACTAGTGTATAGTAGTGTAGTGTATAGTGTAGTATACTAGTACAGCACTAGTGTATAGTGTAGTATACTAGTACAACACTAGTGTATAGTGTAGTGTATAGTGTAGTATACTAGTACAGCACTAGTGTGTAGTGTAGTATACTAGTACAGCACTAGTGTATAGTGTAGTGTATAGTGTAGTATACTAGTACAGCACTAGTGTATAGTGTAGTATATAGTGTAGTATACTAGTACAGCACTAGTGTATGGTGTAGTATACTAGTACAGCACATTGGTGTGTTACTCGCTCACACGCAGAGACAGCAGCAGCATCATCATCAGCAGCATCAACAGTATCATCATCAGGAGCATCATCATCAGTATCAGCAGCAGCATCGTCATCATCATCACGAGCATCATCATCAGTATCAGCAGCAGAAGCATCATCAAATCCTAACCCTAGCCTCTCCCTGTGTCTCTCTCCCTCTGTCTCTCCTCTCCCGGTATCTCTCTGTCCTCTCCCCGTGTCTCTCTCCTCTCCCCGTGTCTCCCCTCTCCCCGTGTCTCTCCCCTCTCCCCGTGTCTCTCCCCTCTCCCTGTGTCTCTTCCCATGTCTCTCCCCTCTCCCCGTGTCTCTCCCCTCTCCCCGTGTCTCTCTCCTCTCCCCGTGTCTCTCCCCTCTCCTTGTGTCTCCCCTCTCCCCGTGTCTCTCCCCTCTCCCCATGTCTCTCCCCTCTCCCCGTGTCTCTCTCCTCTCCCCGTGTCTCTCCCCTCTCCCCGTGTCTCCCCTCTCCCCGTGTCTCTCCCCTCTCCCCGTGTCTCCCCTCTCCCCGTGTCTCTCCCCGTGTCTCTCCCCTCTCCTCGTATCTCCCCTCTCCCCGTGTCTCTCCCCTCTCCCCGTGTCTCTCCCCACTCCTCGTGTCTCTCCCCGTGTCTCTCCCCTCTCCCCGGGTCTCTCCCCTCTCCCCGTGTCTCTCTCCTCTCCCCGTGTCTCTCCCCTCTCCCCGTGTCTCCCCTCTCCCCGTGTCTCTCCCCTCTCCCCCTGTCTCCCCTCTCCCCGTGTGTCTCCCCTCTCCCCATGTCTCCCCTCTCCCCGTGTGTCTCCCTCTCCCCGTGTCTCTCCCCTCTCCCCATGTCTCCCCTCTCCCCGTGTCTCTCTCCTCTCCCCGTGTCTCTCCCCTCTCCTCGTGTCTCCCCTCTCCCCGTGTCTCTCCCCTCTCCCCGTGTCTCTCTCCTCTCCCCGTGTCTCTCCCCGTGTCTCTCCCCTCTCCCCGTGTCTCCCCTCTCCCCGTGTCTCTCCCCTCTCCCCGTGTCTCTCTCCTCTCCCCGTGTCTCTCCCCTCTCCTCGTGTCTCTCCCCTCTCCCCGTGTCTCTCCCCTCTCCCCATGTCTCCCCTCTCCCCGTGTCTCTCCCCTCTCCCCGTGTCTCTCCCCTCACCCCATGTCTCCCCTCTCCCCGTGTCTCTCCCCTCTCCCCGTGTCTCTCCCCTCTCCCCATGTCTCTCCCCTCTCCCCGTGTCTCTCTCCTCTCCCCATGTCTCTCCCCTCTCCTCGTGTCTCCCCTCTCCCCGTGTCTCTCCCCTCTCCCCGTGTCTCTCTCCTCTCCCCGTGTCTCTCCCCTCTCCTTGTGTCTCCCCTCTCCCCGTGTCTCTCCCCTCTCCCCATGTCTCTCCCCTCTCCCCGTGTCTCTTTCCTCTCCCCGTGTCTCTCCCCTCTCCCCGTGTCTCCCCTCTCCCCGTGTCTCTCCCCGTGTCTCTCCCCGTGTCTCTCCCCTCTCCCCGTGTCTCTCCCCACTCCTCGTGTCTCTCCCCGTGTCTCTCCCCTCTCCTCGTGTCTCCCCTCTCCCCGTGTCTCTCCCCTCTCCCCGTGTCTCTCTCCTCTCCCCGTGTCTCTCCCCTCTCCTTGTGTCTCCCCTCTCCCCGTGTCTCTCCCCTCTCCCCATGTCTCTCCCCTCTCCCCGTGTCTCTCTCCTCTCCCCGTGTCTCTCCCCTCTCCCCGTGTCTCTCCCCTCTCCCCGTGTCTCTCCCCTCTCCCCGTGTCTCTCTCCTCTCCCCGTGTCTCTCTCCTCTCCTTGTGTCTCCCCTCTCCCCGTGTCTCTCCCCTCTCCCCGTGTCTCTCCCCTCTCCCCGTGTCTCTCCCCTCTCCCCGTGTCTCTCCCCACTCCTCGTGTCTCTCCCCTCTCCCCGTGTCTCTCCCCTCTCCTTGTGTCTCCTCTCTCCCCGTGTCTCTCCCCTCTCCCCGTGTCTCTCCCCTCTCCCTGTGTCTCTCTCCTCTCCCCGTGTCTCTCCCTCTCCTCGTGTCTCCCCTCTCCTCGTGTCTCTCCCCTCTCCCCGTGTCTCTCCCCACTCCTCGTGTCTCTCCCCGTGTCTCTCCCCTCTCCCCGTGTCTCTCCCCTCTCCCCGTGTCTCTCTCCTCTCCCCGTGTCTCTCCCCTCTCCTCGTGTCTCCCCTCTCCCCGTGTCTCTCCCCTCTCCCGTGTCTCTCCCCACTCCTCGTGTCTCTCCCCGTGTCTCTCCCCTCTCCTCGTGTCTCCCCTCTCCCCGTGTCTCTCCCCTTTCCCCGTGTCTCTCTCCTCTCCCCGTGTCTCTCCCCTCTCCTTGTGTCTCCCCTCTCCCCGTGTCTCTCCCCTCTCCCCATGTCTCTCCCCTCTCCCCGTGTCTCTCTCCTCTCCCCGTGTCTCTCCCCTCTCCCCGTGTCTCCCCTCTCCCCGTGTCTCTCCCCGTGTCTCTCCCTGTGTCTCTCCCCTCTCCCCGTGTCTCTCCCCACTCCTCGTGTCTCTCCCCTCTCCTCGTGTCTCCCCTCTCCCCGTGTCTCTCCCCTCTCCCCGTGTCTCCCCTCTCCCCGTGTCTCTCCCCGTGTCTCTCCCCTCTCCTCTATCTCCCCTCTCCCCGTGTCTCTCCCCTCTCCCCGTGTCTCTCCCCACTCCTCGTGTCTCTCCCCGTGTCTCTCCCCTCTCCCCGTGTCTCTCCCCTCTCCCCGTGTCTCTCCCCTCTCCCCGTGTCTCTCTCCTCTCCCCGTGTCTCTCCCCTCTCCTCGTGTCTCCCCTCTCCCCGTGTCTCTCCCCTCTCCCCGTGTCTCCCCTCTCCCCTTGTCTCTCCCCTCTCCCCGTGTCTCCCCTCTCCCCGTGTGTCTCCCCTCTCCCCGTGTCTCTCCCCTCTCCCCTTGTCTCCCCTCTCCCCCGTGTCTCTCTCCTCTCCCCGTGTCTCTCCCCTCTCCTCGTGTCTCCCCACTCCCCGTGTCTCTCCCCTCTCCCCGTGTCTCTCTCCTCTCCCCGTGTCTCTCCCCGTGTCTCTCCCCTCTCCCCGTGTCTCTCCCCTCTCCCTGTGTCTCTCTCCTCTCCCCGTGTCTCTCCCCTCTCCTCGTGTCTCTCCCCTCTCCCCGTGTCTCTCCCCTCTCCCCATGTCTCCCCTCTCCCCGTGTCTCTCCCCTCTCCCCGTGTCTCTCCCCTCTCCCCCTGTCTCCCCTCTCCCCGTGTCTCTCCCCTCTCCCCGTGTCTCTCCCCTCTCCCCATGTCTCTCCCCTCTCCCCGTGTCTCTCTCCTCTCCCCGTGTCTCTCCCCTCTCCTCGTGTCTCCCCTCTCCCCGTGTCTCTCCCCTCTCCCCGTGTCTCTCTCCTCTCCCCGTGTCTCTCCCCTCTCCCCATGTCTCTCCCCTCTCCCCGTGTCTCTCTCCTCTCCCCGTGTCTCTCCCCTCTCCCCGTGTCTCCCCTCTCCCCGTGTCTCTCCCCGTGTCTCTCCCCGTGTCTCTCCCCTCTCCCCATGTCTCTCCCCACTCCTCGTGTCTCTCCCCGTGTCTCTCCCCTCTCCTCGTGTCTCCCCTCTCCCCGTGTCTCTCCCCGTGTCTCTCCCCTCTCCCCGTGTCTCCCCTCTCCCCGTGTCTCCCCGCTCCCCGTGTCTCTCCCCTCTCCCCGTATCTCTCCCCTCTCCCCGTGTCTCTCTCCTCTCCCCGTGTCTCTCCCCTCTCCTCGTGTCTCCCCTCTCCCCGTGTCTCCCCGCTCCCCGTGTCTCTCCCCTCTCCCCGTGTCTCTCCCCTCTCCCCGTGTCTCTCTCCTCTCCCCGTGTCTCTCCCCTCTCCTCGTGTCTCCCCTCTCCCCGTGTTTCTCTCCCCCGCGTGTCATTAGATCGGAGACCTCCCCGATGCCGAAGTTGCTCCCCCGGACTCGGTGCTCTTCGTGTGCAAGCTGAACCCCGTCACCAACGACGACGACCTCGAGGTCATCTTCTCTCGATTCGGACCCATCGCCAGGTGCAGCACATCGCCTGTGAACACACAAAGACAAAGATCCCCCGTGTAGCCTGTAGCAGACTGTTGGGGCAAGTGCTGTTAGCGAGTAGCAGCAGCGCCTATGAACACACAAAGACAAAGATCCCCCGTGTAGCCTGTAGCAGACTGTTGGGGCAAGTGCTGTTAGCGAGTAGCAGCAGCGCCTATGAACACACAAAGACAAAGATCCCCCGTGTAGCCTGTAGCAGACTGTTGGGGCAAGTGCTGTTAGCGAGTAGCAGCAGCGCCTGTGAACACACAAAGACAAAGGTCCCCCGTGTAGCCTGTAGCAGACTGTAGGGGCAAGTGCTGTGAGCGAGTAGCACCTTTCCAGGCCGGCACTGTGGCACACGAGGGGGTGGGTGGCCAGCACCACGCCCGGCCGCCTTTGTCTCCCTTAGTTGCGATTTTTACTACACACCGCTGCACCAGGCACTCATTTGAGGCTGAGTCGACCTAGGGGAGGCACTCGACCGGTTCAGATAACTAATCGCTATCACCAGTGTTGGTGGCCGTGAGCAGGAAGCGAACTCGGGTTGGCGGGTTCGCAGCGCAGCGTAGCGCTAACCACTGCACCACCGCTCCCCACTAACCCACCCACCCACCCACCACCTCACCCACCATTTCTTCCCACTCGCGCACTGATTGACCCACTCACTCAGACTCGCTCCCCCCTTGCGAATGAGACTCCTGTCAGGTCTCTTGAAATGTCACCTTTTTTCGGGTGCATTGGCTGGGTCACGTAGCAGCCTGCGTGCCCATCCACCGCATGCCCGGCCAGCTTCTGTTTGGCCGGATAGAGGGGGGGCTAAACGGGCACGACACGGGCTGGAAAGGAGATGGAGCTGATGCGGTACGGGAAGATGTGGAGCGGAGTGGACTTGCCGATGACCGGTACTAGCGGTGTCAAGATCGGCCTCTGTGGAAGAGGCTTGTGAAGGATGCTGCTGCTGCTGCTACTGGGCAGTTGGAGGCAGTCGCCTTCCAGCAACAACGGAGGGGGGGAGGAGCGACGCTCACAACAACGAGCGGAGCGCCGGGCGGTTAAAACACAGCAGGTTGGCACGGTAGGGGGCACAGGTGGTGCATCAGCCACTCGTCTCGGTCAGTCGAACTGTGGCACCTGGGTCTGCCCCGTCACCTTCGCGGGTGCTTTTCGCTAACGGCTCTTTTCTCCGACAGTCTGTTAAGGCTATGGGGGGGGGTCTTTGTCTTTGTGCCTGTGTGTATCTGCGTGTGTATCTGCGTGTGTGTCGCAGCTGTGAGATCATACGCGACCGCAAGACCGGAGAGTCCCTCTGCTACGCATTTGTGGAGTTCACGAAGGTAAAAAAAACCTGTGTAGTGGGTCCAATGACAGAGGGGAAACTTATCCGAGGCAACACAGATTTTTTTTTTGAACAATTAACAGTTAACACGGAGGGGTACGGCCCCTCACACCCGATACACGATGGAGAGTGTGCCCTCCAGACTAATACGCCTCTCACTGGCTAATCTTTCCGTTCTCCTTGAGTGAAGCTTGGATCTTCACTGGTATATAAGCTGAGCCAGCCCCTCCTCTCCTGGGGTCTGGGGTCTGTCCCTTTAACACAGGGCTGGGGAACGTCCGGCCTGCGGGCCGTATGAGGCCCGCAAAATTATTTAGCCTGGCCCTGCCAAGGCAACTTCAGGCGGGACTCGAAATTCAATAAATCTAGGTAGGAGCAAACCTGGAAAAGCAGTTGCGAGTAGCAACAACATCGTCAATAGCCAGCTAACATCATCAATACCAGCTAACATCATCAATACCAGCTAACATCATCAACACCATCTCACTTCATCAATACCAGCTAACATCATCAATACCAGCTAACATCATCAATACCAGCTAACATCATAAATACCAGCTAACATCATCAATACCGGCTAACATCATCAATACCAGCTAACATCATCAATACCAGCTAACATCATCAATACCAGCTAACATCATCAACACCATCTCACATCATCAATACCAGCTAACATCATCAATACCAGCTAACATCATCAATACCATCTCACATCATCAATACCAGCTAACATCATCAATACCAGCTAACATCAATACCAGCTAACATCATCAATACCAGCTAACATCATCAATACCATCTCACATCATCAATACCAGCTAACATCATCAATACCAGCTAACATCATCAATACCAGCTAACATCATCAATACCAGCTAACATCATCAACACCATCTCACATCAATACCAGCTAACATCATCAATACCAGCTAACATCATCAACACCATCTCACATCATCAATACCAGCTAACATCATCAATACCAGCTAACATCATCAATACCATCTCACATCATCAATACCAGCTAACATCATCAATACCAGCTAACATCATGAATACCAGCTAACATCATCAATACCAGCTAACATCATAAATACCAGCTAACATCATCAATACTGGCTAACATCATCAATACCAGCTAACATCATCAATACCAGCTAACATCATCAATACCAGCTAACATCATAAATACCAGCTAACATCATCAATACTGGCTAACATCATCAATACCAGCTAACATCATCAATACCAGCTAACAATATCAATACCAGCTAACTTCATCAATACCAGCTAACAATATCAATACCAGCTAACATCATCAACACCATCTCACATCAATACCAGCTAACATCATCAATACCAGCTAACATCATCAATACCAGCTAACATCATTAATACCAGCTAACAATATCAATACCAGCTAACATCATCAATACCAGCTAACATCATAAATACCAGCTAACATCATCAATACTGGCTAACATCATCAATACCAGCTAACATCATCAATACCAGCTAACATCATCAATACCAGCTAACATCATAAATACCAGCTAACATCATCAATACTGGCTAACATCATCAATACCAGCTAACATCATCAATACCAGCTAACAATATCAATACCAGCTAACTTCATCAATACCAGCTAACAATATCAATACCAGCTAACATCATCAACACCATCTCACATCAATACCAGCTAACATCATCAATACCAGCTAACATCATCAATACCAGCTAACATCATTAATACCAGCTAACAATATCAATACCAGCTAACATCATCAATACCAGCTAACATCATCAATACCAGCTAACATCATTAATACCAGCTAACAATATCAATACCAGCTAACATCATCAATACCAGCTAACATCATAAATACCAGCTAACATCATCAATACTGGCTAACATCATCAATACCAGCTAACATCATCAATACCAGCTAACATCAATACCAGCTAACATCATAAATACCAGCTAACATCATCAATACTGGCTAACATCATCAATACCAGCTAACATCATCAATACCGGCTAACAATATCAATACCAGCTAACTTCATCAATACCAGCTAACAATATCAATACCAGCTAACATCATCAACACCATCTCACATCAATACCAGCTAACATCATCAATACCAGCTAACATCATCAATACCAGCTAACATCATTAATACCAGCTAACAATATCAATACCAGCTAACATCATCAATACCAGCTAACATCATCAATACCAGCTAACATCATTAATACCAGCTAACAATATCAGTACCAGCTAACATCATCAATACCAGCTAACATCATAAATACCAGCTAACATCATCAATACTGGCTAACATCATCAATACCAGCTAACATCATCAATACCAGCTAACATCGTCAATAGCCAGCTAACATCATCAACACCAGCTAACATCATCAATACCAGCTAACATCATCAATACCAGCTAACATCAACACCAGCTAACATCATCAATACCAGCTAACATCGTCAATAGCCAGCTAACATCATCAACACCAGCTAACATCATCAATACCAGCTAACATCATCAATACCAGCTAACATCATCAATACCAGCTAACATCGTCAATAGCCAGCTAACATCATCAATACCAGCTAACATCGTCAATAGCCAGCTAACATCATCAATACCAGCTAACATCATCAATACCAGCTAACATCATCAATACCAGCTAACATCAATACCAGCTAACATCAATACCAGCTAACATCATCAATACCAGCTAACATCATCAATACCATCTCACATCATCAATACCAGCTAACATCATCAATACCAGCTAACATCATCAATACCAGCTAACATCATCAATACCAGCTAACATCATCAACACCATCTCACATCAATACCAGCTAACATCATCAATACCAGCTAACATCATAAATACCAGCTAACATCATCAATACCGGCTAACATCATCAATACCAGCTAACATCAACACCAGCTAACATCATCAATACCAGCTAACATCATCAATACCAGCTAACATCATCAATACCAGCTAACATCATCAATACCAGCTAACATCATCAATACCAGCTAACATCATCAATACCAGCTAACATCATCAATACCAGCTAACATCATCAATACCAGCTAACATCAATACCAGCTAACATCATCAATACCAGCTAACATCAATACCAGCTAACATCATCAATACCAGCTAACATCATCAATACCAGCTAACATCATCAATACCAGCTAACATCAACACCAGCTAACGTCATCAATACCAGCTAACATCGTCAATACCAGCTAACATCATCAATAGCCAGCTAACATCATCAACACCAGCTAACATCATCAACACCAGCTAACATCATCAATACCAGCTAACATCATCAATACCAGCTAACATCAACACCAGCTAACGTCATCAATACCAGCTAACGTCATCAATACCAGCTAACGTCATCAATACCAGCTAACATCATCAATAGCCAGCTAACATCATCACCACGCGCCTCGCCAACGAGAAGCAGTTCCAGCCCATCGCGTTAGGGGCGAGTTAATGAAACGTTTGACCAAATATAAACGGGGCTAATTTTTAAGTTGATTATTTTGTGTGGCCCGTGAATGATGTTACATAAATATCCAAAATGGCCCTTGGCAGAGAAAAGGTCCCCCACCCCTGCGTTTAACTTAACGATCCATAGGGCAACCGTTGGGTTGCTATGTCCCATAGCCTCTCGTACTAGGGCTCAGCCTCTCGATTGCCCCCTATTGGCGTGTGGCCGGTACTGCCGGCAGCCGCATGGGAACAGCGCATCTTTGCCAAAGGCGCCGTCCATGAATGACGTCACGCACCTAGGGTTGGGGGGGGGTGTTCAGACATTTGCGACGATGTGTGAGGAGCGGGGGTGGTGTTTGAGAAACGTGACGTCGCATCAAAATGCGCAACTTTAATTAAATACAGACAACACGTTCTGCTTTGTTAAATAGACTTTTTAATAAATGTTTTCTCCTACAACATCAGAGTGCAGCGCCACGTTAAATACGCACTACAGTGGTCCCTCGTTTATCGCGGGGGATACGTTCTAAAAATAACCCGCAATAGACGAAATCCGCGAAGTAATCAGCTTTATTTTTTACAATTATTATACATGTTTTAAGGCCGTAAAACCCCTAACCATACACTTTTACACACTTTTCTCAGACAGGCATTAACATTTTCTCACATTTCTCTCTTATTTATACACTCTCAAAGTTCAAACTTTCGCAGATTTAAAAAATAAGTACAATATTAGTAAATGAAACCAAAGATCAAAACCTGTTTTCAAGCCCAAACATTTTTGTAAATCTGGCTAGCCGAGCGCATTCTGTACTCCCTTAGCCAATCAGGACGCCGAACACACGTGTGCGGTTCTCCCTTAGCCAATCAGGACGCCGAACACACGTGCGGTTCTCCCTTAGCCAATCAGGACGCCGAACACAATGCGCGTTCATACTGTACGCAGGAAAAAAAAGCATGCACAATTACACCCAAAAAAAATCCGCGAAACAGCGAGGCCGCGAAAGGTGAACCGCGCTATAGTGAGGGACAACTGTACAATGACAATAGTTTAAAGCGATTTGAAGCATGTTTTATTTAGGGGGGGGGGGGGGGTGGGCAGAGCTTTGTAACGTCATATTTTAGGGGGGGGGGGGGGGTCTGACTTTTTGTGACGCCGTGTGACGAGGGGTGGGGGAGGGGGGTCAAAAATCTTCCAAAATCGCGAGACGTCATTCATGGACGGCCCCAAATACCACCGTTACACTTGCACAGAGGCGAAGGTGGTACCCCCCGTGTACGCCTCGTCAGACTGTCGGGGCAACCGCCATGTTGGCAAGTGGCACCTCTGCAGGCCGGCACGGCACATCGGGTGGGTGGCCAGCACCACGCCCGGCCGCCTTTGTCTCCCCAACGCTCGCCACAGTTATTGGTCGCAAACGTGCTAATCGGGAGGTGGGCCACATGATGATGGAAAGGATGATGCTGATCTTGATGCCCACTTGAGCAATTGTTTCCTGCTGTGGTTGTCCCACCTTGTGTTGCGCCCCGAAACGTCGTGATTTTAATTCGTTTTATTTTATACCTACGTGACTTTACCGAAAGAACCACAGAGTGTGATCTTGATGGTGATGATGATGATGATGAAGATGCTGGTGCTGCTGTTCCTAATTCTGCTGATGCTAGTGCTGTTGATGATGCTCAGTTTGACTCGTGTGCTGTCGCGACCAATATTACCCATGACGGTGGTTTTGTCAGGTTAGATCGCTTAAATATAAAAAATGTTTCGTCGTTAAACCCACCACCACCCGACGCAGCCCAGTTAGTAAAGAAGGTTTAATTTTCGATTTAAAGCTTTCGTGACTGCAGGGATTCATCTTCTTGGTTCTTTCGGTAAAGCCACCACGTAGAATGGAAACAAAGTAATACAAATGAAACATAATAAAATTCTCACGACGTTTCGGCCGCAACACAAGTAGCCTTCTTCAGGTGAAGGAACAGAACTGTCGGGACGGCAGCGCTTCAAAGTGCTTCAAAGCGCTGTCGTCCCGACAGTTCTGTTCCGTCACCTGAAGAAGGCTACTTGTGTTGTGGCCGAAACGTTGTGAGAATTGTATTTTATTATGTTTTATTTTGATTACTTTGTTTCCATGCTACGTGACTTTACCGAAAGAACCAATAAGATAAAGAAGGTTCGCCACGTAAACAGAACTTGGCCAATTCGTTAGAAGTTCAGCACAGCGGTGGTGTGTTGGAGAGTGATGAACCCACTGCAACATTTACAATTCGAGTCCAACACGCCGTTTCGTGCTGCACTGGTGACGAATTGGCCACGTTCTGTTCACGTGACAAACCCTCTCACTAATTGGCTGTGTCGGGTGGTGGTGGGTTTAACGACACAACATTTATATACTTACGTGATCTCACTTCCAAATAAACCTCTTACGGATGATGCTGCTGCGGATAATGCTGATGATGATTCTGCTGACGATGATTCTGCTGATGATGCTGCTGCTTATGATGATGATTCTGCTGATGATGATTCTTCTGATGATGATGCTGCTGATGATGATGATGATTCTGCTGATGGTGCTGCTGATGATGATTCTTCTGATGATGAATCTGCTGATGATGATTCTGCTGCTGCTGATGATTCTGCTGATGATGATGCTGCTGCTAATGATGATGATGATCAGTTTAACAAGTAGGCTTTTCTGGAGAATTGCCCGATGATGCTGGATGTAATTACCAGCGAAACGTCGTACTCAAACTGTAAATGTTGTGGATTCACTCTTCAACACACTGGTGGGCTAAAGTAGTGAACTATTTGTCTTTTGTTAACGTGAAATTTTTTTGCTGATTGGCCTTGTCGGGTGGTGGAGGGTTACGACACATTTATAAATAACGCGATCTAACCCAAAAACCTTTACTATTATGATGATGATGATGTTTCTGCTGATAATGATGGTTCTGCTGCTGATGATGCTGCTGCTGATGCTGTGTGGCCTACAGAGCGAGGACTGTGAGCGAGCCTATTTCAAGATGGACAACGTCCTCATTGACGACCGACGGATTCACGTCGACTTCAGCCAATCGGTGGCCAAGGTCAAGTGGAAGGGACGAGGTAGGTGGGCGACACACGGAGGGAGAGGGGAGACACGGGGAGGAGGCTGGGGTGGGACACGGGGAGATGAGGGGAGATGAGGGGCGGAGAGGGGAGATGCGGGGGGGGGGGGGAGAGGGGATACACGGGGAGGGGGGGGTGGAGAGGGGAGATGCGGGGGGGGGGGAGAGGGGAGACACTGGAAGGTGAAGGGAGACAAAGATGGCCGGGCATGGTGCTGGCCACCCACCCCCCCCCGCCCGCCCCGTCATGTGCCGTGCCGGCCTCCGTCGGCGCTGCTGCTCGCTCACAGCACTTGCCTCCAACGCTCTGCCCGAGGCTGCAACGGGGGTTCGGGGTCTCTGTCTCCGTGCCGGGCAGGTGGCCGCTACAGCAAGGACGAGCTCCGGGACCTGGGCCATCACAAGCCCGTCCACAGCAAGCTGGCCCTCAAGGAGAAAGCCAAGCCGGCACAGCAGACGTATCCTCACTCCAGCCCGCCCGCACCGCTCGCAGCAGCTTCCGAATCCATTCGCGCGTTAAGTCGGTGCGCTCCTGTGACGTGGCGCTAGCAGCGGTTGCGTTCCTGAGGAACAATCGCGTTGTGGTAAATGGCTGGATTCTTTGGGTCTTCCGGGAAAAAAAAAAAAAAATAACCAAAAAAACTACGACGTTTCGATCGCAACGCAAGCTGTCGTCGTCAGCCTCGCGTTGCGATGGAAATGTCGTCGGTTTTTTTTGGGGTTATTTTCTTTGAACCTATCCACGTGACTTTGCCGGAAGGCCCAAAGGAATACGAATTGCTGCAGTCACGAAAGCTTTAAGCCGAGATGGTGGATAACATTTGATGTGTTGGGCAAGTCAACGGTCGGCGGTGACAACGCGAGATGACGCGGCGTACGTAGGCCGGACGACGGCCGAGGCGCGCGGTGGGTAGCGTCCATCAGCATCCAGCAGCATCCCAAAGCCTCGTGGTGGTGACGGTGATGACGACGATGCGCCGGGGCAGCCCGTTGCAGCCACCGCTTATTGCTGCTCGCGCTGCGATGGAGGCATCTACACCTGCAGAACGTGAAGAACCAGTGGCATCTACATCTGCAGAACGTGAAGAACCAGTGGCATCTACATCTGCAGAACGTGAAGAATCAGTGGCATCTGCAGAACGTGAAGAACCAGTGGCATCTACATCTGCAGGACGTGAAGAACCAGTGGCATCTACATCTGCAGAACGTGAAGAACCAGTGGCATCTACATCTGCAGAATGTGAAGAACCAGTGGCATCTACATCTGCAGAACGTGAAGAACCAGTGGCATCTACATCTGCAGAACGTGAAGAACCAGTGGCATCTACATCTGCAGAATGTGAAGAACCAGTGGCATCTACATCTGCAGAACGTGAAGAACCAGTGGCATCTACATCTGCAGAACGTGAAGAACCAGTGGCATCTACATCTGCAGAACGTGAAGAACCAGTGGCATCTACATCTGCAGAACGTGAAGAATCAGTGGCATCTGCAGAACGTGAAGAACCAGTGGCATCTACATCTGCAGGACGTGACGAACCAGTGGCATCTACATCTGCAGAACGTGAAGAACCAGTGGCATCTACATCTGCAGAACGTGAAGAACCAGTGGCATCTACATCTGCAGAACGTCAAGAACCAGTGGCATCTACATCTGTTGAACGTGAAGAACCAGTGGCATCTACATCTGCAGAACGTGAAGAACCAGTGGCATCTACATCTGCAGAACATGAAGAACCAGTGGCATCTTCAGCTGCAGAACGTGAAGAATCAGTGGCATCTACATCTGCAGAACGTGAAGAACCAGTGGCATCTACATCTGCAGAACGTGAAGAACCAGTGGCATCTACATCTGCAGAACGTGAAGAACCAGTGGCATCTACATCTGCAGAACGTGAAGAACCAGTGGCATCTACATCTGTTGAACGTGAAGAACCAGTGGCATCTACATCTGCAGAACGTGAAGAACCAGTGGCATCTACATCTGCAGAACGTGATGAACCAGTGGCATCTACATCTGCAGAATGTGAAGAATCAGTGGCATCTACATCTGCAGAGCGTGAAGAACCAGTGGCATCTACATCTTGCGGAACGTGAAGAACCAGTGGCATCTACATCTGCAGAACGTGAAGAACCAGTGGCATCTATATCTGCAGAACGTAAAGAACCAGTGGCATCTACATCTGTTGAACGTGAAGAACCAGTGGCACCTACATCTGCAGAACGTGAAGAACCAGTGGCATCTACATCTACAGAACGTGAAGAACCAGTGGCATCTACATCTGCAGAACGTGGAGAACCAGTGGCATCTACATCTGTTGAACGTGAAGAACCAGTGGCATCTACATCTGCAGAATATGAGGGGTGAGCGGTGAGGGGTGAGCGGTGAGGAGTGAGGGGTGAGTTGTGAGGGGTAAGCGGTGAAGGGTGAGCGGTGAACGCTGAGCGGTGAGTTGTGAGGGGTGAGTTGTGAGGAGTAAGCGGTGAAGGGTGAGCGGTGAACGCTGAGCGGTGAGGAGTGAGGGGTGAGTTGTGAGGGGTAAGCGGTGAAGGGTGAGCGGTGAACGCTGAGCGGTGAGTTGTGAGGGGTGAGTTGTGAGGGGTAAGCGGTGAAGGGTGAGCGGTGAGCGCTGAGCGGTGAGGAGTGAGGGGTGAGTTGTGAGGGGTAAGCGGTGAAGGGTGAGCGGTGAGCGCTGAGCGGTGAGGAGTGAGGGGTGAGTTGTGAGGGGTAAGCGGTGAAGGGTGAGCGGTGAACGATGAGCGGTGAGGAGTGAGGGGTGAGTTGTGAGGGGTAAGCGGTGAAGGGTGAGCGGTGAGCGCTGAGCGGTGAGGAGTGAGGGGTGAGTTGTGAGGGGTAAGCGGTGAACGGTGAGCGGTGAGCGCTGAGTGGTGAGGAGTGCTGGTGGCGTGGTGGGGTCCCCTCCTTGACGAGGTCTCTCAGTGCTGGCTATGAACTCCTCCTGGACTGCGAGCCACAGTCCTCCACCAAGCCCAGCAGACGCACGCTCGAGGTACATCCCCTGCTCGCGTGTGCCGTGTGTGTGCCGTGTGTGTGCCGTGTGTAGGGTGTGTGTGTAGTGTGTGTGTCGTTTGTGTGTGTAGGGTGTGTGTAGGGTGTGTGACATGTGTGTGTAGTGTGTGTGTGTGTAATGTGTGTGTAGTGTGTGTGTGTAGTGTGTGTGGTGTGTGTGTGTGTAGTGTGTGTAGTGTGGATGTTGTCTGTATGTTGTGTGTAGTGTGTGTGCATAGTGTGTGTAGTATGTGTGTGTGTAGTGTGTGTGTGTAGTGTGTGTGTGTAGTGTGTGTAGTGTGTGTAGTGTGTGTGTGTAGTGTGTGTGTAGTGTGTGTAGTGTGTGTAATGTGTGTGCTGTGTGCGTGGTGAGATGTTAACTACCTCGCTTGGTATACAGGCAGCCGTGGGTTCGATCCCGACCCCGACGCCTGATGTTTATTTGGAGTTTGCGTGTCTCTTGCCTCTTCCCTCTCCTCCCCGTGTCTCCCCTCACCTCTCCGTGTCTCCCCTCTCCTCTCCGTGTCTCCCCTCTCCTCTCCGTGTCTCCCCTCTCCTCCCCCCGTGTCTCCCCTCTCTCCGTGTCTCCCCTCACCTCCCCCGCGTCTCCCCCTCCCCCCGTGCATTTCAGGAAAGCGCGAAGCACGAACAGAAGCAGAAGCGCAGGAGCCGGAGTCGGTCGCGGGAGAGACGGGAGAAAGACGCCGGAGAGCCGGAGAGGGGGAAGAAGAGAGACAGGGAGAGAGGAGACAGGGAGAGAGGGGACAGGGAGAGAGGAGACATGAAGAGAGGAGACAGGGAGAGAGGGGACAGGGAGAGAGGAGACAGGGAGAGAGGAGACATGAAGAGAGGAGACAGGGAGAGAGGGGACAGGGAGAGAGGAGACAGGGAGAGAGGAGACATGAAGAGAGGAGACAGGGAGAGAGGAGACAGGGAGAGAGGAGACAGGGATAGAGGAGACAGGGAGAGAGGAGACAGGGAGAGAGACAGGGATAGAGGAGGCAGGGAGAGAGACAGGGAGAGACGGCGAGACAGGAAGTGAGGGACGGATACTCGCACGCACGCCAACACCGCGCCCGGCCACTGATGCTTTGGACGCCATGGCAGGTACTCATTTGAGGCTGAGCCAAACCGAGGGGAGGCCCAGGATCGGTTCATAAAACCGGCGTTGGGTGGAGGCCGTGAGCGGGGGAATCGAACTCGGGGGGGGGG